AATATAAATGTAATCAAAGCATTTCTTATTCTGTATGCAATTCATTGCAAAAAGGCAAATTTGACAGCACAAATAGAAAGACAACAAACGGCATTGGCAATAGGCTACAATGACAAGCAATGGTGGTGCACTGAGTTCTGTATTTTGTATTTTGTTGTCCGTTGTGTAATGATTAATTGAAAGAGTTCATATACTTGTTTGCAAGTTGTGTTGTTTGAGTGCCTCTGTTTAGGCCTGTGTGTTAACTGTTTTGAAAATGTGGAGTTTCAGTTGACAACTACATCCAAGCAATCGAGAAAAACTGTAATCTGTTCCTAAAGGGTCATTTTATCCGCTTGTTAAGTGGTGACGTGTTTGTGACGTATGTAATACTGTTTCCAGGTCCAATCCGCCATTCATTTGAGTGGAGAAATCATTAGTTTATGATCACGTTTTATTCCTATCACACATTAAAGTTAATTTTATATAAAGTCATAGTGTACACAACAATCTCTGGGCTTGCTGCATCACAAATACCAAAATTTTAACAATTTCTAAAAAAATTAATCACTTTCTGGCCATCGGATATTAGGCATGGACATATATATTGCGATCGTGATTTTCGAAAGTATTAAATCGCTTTAAAAATGTTTATTATTACCATTTCATGAGTACCATTTCATGAGTATACAGTTGAATAGAGCGCTTGGACCCGGAAGCCGCTTCGCGTGACGTCACTCTTAACAAGCAGATTGTCCTTCCTCAAGCAATGAAAACATTTAAGGAGATTGCTGAATCTGCTAAAATTGAGTTAAGATCCTATTGTGGGCAACCATCATCTTTGTGAAGGAATTGTGGTTAGAAAAAAATGTGAATGTTTGAGATTGGCAATCACTAAAAAACCTAAGGAAATCAAATCATAAAAATACAGTAAAACTCATGGCTATGTTTAATGGGGAAAGTAAGACCATTTTTATATACACAATGAGAAGGACAACGGGATTGGGAAAAAACAGTTGTGTAGGGTAAGAAGATTATTTATCAGCGCATTTCTTCAGTGTGTATTGTGACCAATTTGTAGTACGTTACTTCAGTTGTTTGTGTATTGACCAATTTGCAGCTCGTTTCTTCAGTTGTTTGTGTTGTGACAGATTTGCAACAGGGGTTGTTAAAGATCGTTTCTTAATTTACTGGTGGTTTTTGTAATTGCATGTGCTTTCTTAAATTGCAACGAGTTAAGCTCTCTCGGCCACTGTAAGTTCAATCAAAGGGTGTCAAACTTTCATACTGCACCTAAGAACTTCAAAACAAGATCATGATTCAAAACTATGGCAACTCTGAAATGTAATGAATGTTTTGACTTTTGCAGATAAATACTGAAACGATGCCATGGTGAATCCATGCTTTAATCAAAGCTAAAGGCAGTCCAACAAAACATGTTTTCCTGGTAGATAATTTTACCCCATATGATCCAGGCATTAGTTAATTGCATAAATCACAATACAATGTGTGTACAAGGTGGTCTGCCAGTCATATTTTCAAAATATTTGTATTCTACTTTTAATTTATTTATGTAAGAAATATCTATATAATATATATTAAAAGGCCACAAAGGTGTTGATGCAGGCTATTAGTGTCTGAGCAGTCAATCTTTATTTGCAAACCTAAATAAAACAAAATCCAGGAATACAAGCTCACAGAAAGGACTAATAGAATTTAACCATATACAGTACAAGAACAGAAAAATCGCAACTAACACAAAAGTGTTTAACTGCTAAATGTGGAAATGTGGGAACTAAATGAGACACAGTGGAACAGACTGTCTTAAAAATAACAGCAGTTAATAATGGCAGTTAAACACCTTTGTTCGTGTGTGTGAATCTATTTCTACTACTCTTATAAAAGTGTTATCCTTATTCTCTTAATAAATTATTATTGTGTTTTGAGTAAAACATGCATTAAATCAATCAGAGTCTCATCTCTCATTCTCTTTAAGTGTCAGTTGCGTCTTACCATGGTGCATTTCATTTGCTATTTACACGGTGGACTTTGTAAGTGGAAAAACTAAACGCTTCACTATTGAGAAAACAGTAAAAGACCATCTATGGAACAAGCATCTTTATTTTGGCCTCTTACTTTTGACTGTGGATTAAGGAAATGCACTACACAGATGACATCCATTACATTAGCATATTTAATTTGGTAAATTTGTTTGTTAACCACAAAGATTTGTTAAAAACTATTTCTAAATTCAGTTCTAATTTCCAGCAAACTAATAAATGAACAATAATAACGAAGTGTGGTAAAAAGTTATATTCAAACAAGTTTCCATTTCTATGCCTCATTTGGTGATTCAGTATACATTTCCAAAACCCTAATGGTGGACACATCTAGACCATGAGTCCACAAAGTGGCATAAAAGCATTTGTTATTGAAAATAATAGCTGCGTTCGTCTGAAAATAGCAAAAGAACACTTGTGCCACGCATGGCCTCGTATTGAAAAGAGTGTATGATCCCATTATAAAAGTATGAGGTCCCATTATCAAAGTAGTAGGAAGCAAAGTTAGGTTGAAAGACATTTAGGCAAAACAAGAATGCTGCATCCCACTCTTATGATTCTTTCAGGAGTGATCATGTGTGGAGAAGCAGTGCTGTCTCAACTTATAAGATACATTTTAAAGTTCTGTTATAATGCTGCTTTGTGCCGTCTATTACAGTGCAAAATATATTGAAGCATCTTAGGTGTTTTCATGATTTCTATTAATCCAAACCAGAAATTGAGGGTGTGTGAGATTAGAATACCTAGTATTTCATTATTGGGTAATGCACAAACCTACATATTTATTTTGATTCTAAAATAATTCTTACAATAATATTTTTTATTCCCTTCTAAAGTATTTGGTTCATTTTTGATTTGTATCTTATTTTATGTAGTTTTATTGTTGTTGTCTTATTATTAGAGAAAATAAAAATAGTTTAAAGAATATAATATATATATATATATATATATATATATATATATATATATATATATATATATATATATATATATAGTTCCTTTAGTTTTTGTAGTTTTGTAAAAAGCATTTACTAACTCTCATAACTAGCTACTTTGTCCAATCTTCAAGTATTAAACATTGTTACTATTTATAAAAATGAGATCTTCTGATATATTCTGCAATAGCAATGTTTCTGGGAGGTATGTAAAAACTGAATAATGGCCTACTGCATGCATTGAGTACTATCACTTGCTTTATTATTTGTGCATAAAAATGTCCTGTTCTAACTTCTAATTAAAATTCCCATATAACAATCTACAAATCAGGGTGTTGTGTCAAAAGTGGTCAATCTTTGTTTCAGTATCCGATCAGTGAGGCTGTGGCTTACTACAATGTGACAGTGAGGAAAGAATCGGGGGAAACCAGCAGTCAAACCAGCAGTTACAAAGTTAAAAATTCATCTCTTATCCTGATCCTGTCTTATTCTGCATATAACATCAGCATCAGGGCCTTTAACAATGCTGGATCATCTCCTGTTTCCAGTATAATCATTGAACGAATGGATGAGTGGCAAGGTACATTGCTTTCATATTGTGTAACATGAACTCTAAAAAGCATCAACATCTTATACAATACAATACAGTAAACATACATTTAACGAAGATGTTCATACAGTGAATTACTTTGATTTATTTAGATTTGTTTGGGCCATTCAGTGTCAACATTACGAGTAACAACAGTTTCAGCCTGTCTTGGAACAGCTCCATCTCAAGTGTGTGTTACTCTGTGGAGTGGTGGGCCAAAGGACAGATACCTGCTTTCCAGCCATTCTACGTTAAGAGGAACCACAAAGAAATAACTGGCATAACCAAGAACAGTACTATGCCCTTATTTTTTTCCTTATTAAGCTGGCTAAAATAGATCAATATACCAAAACGAAAAATTCATATATACCATGATTGTGGTCTAAACATATTTAAAAAGTTGTCGGCCTATTTAATATTCTTGTTTCATATATATTGGTAAAAATGACTTATTGTTTATACTCTGATCACTTTTTCATTTTTTTATTCTCTGATTATTATCTAGCTGTTTTGAACGTTGTCGCTCGATTGAATAGGCATTATCAGTGGTAATCAGCCGATAAATAAGGGCCAGTAAGGGCCTTCTGTGTCTAATGGTTGGCTCAGAGCATGGTTAATGAGCTAGATCACATACGGCTGTGGTCTGAAGTTTATGAGAATTATTTATATTATTTATAAAATTTTTGATTAAATGTATTTTATTTATGTCTACCCCTACCATAACCCTAATCCTAACCGTCACAGTAATGTAAAAACAGATCTGGAGTCTTTTCAATTTGGATAGCAGATTAACCACATGGATGGATGATAACAGCCTTCTGAGGCTACAAAAATATAGCATCATCTGATTTATTTATTCACATAGTGTTTTGAATTGCAGCAATGTTCCATGTTTAACCCTTTTTTTTTTTTTAAGCAGCTTTTCAGCCCAATACAAGATATTATTTCTTCCTGCACACCAGACCAGACCAAGACACCTGCAACATGAAAAATGTGAACAAAAGTGAGACAACCTATGGCAAAACCCAAGCTTATCTCTCTGAAGGAAGTGAGTCTAACTATTCATACTTATATTTGCTCTACTTATGCTGAAATATGCTGAAAAAAACACAGCAAATTAATTTCCTGGCTGGAAAAAATATGTATGCAATGCATTATATTTAAATTACAGTGTAATTACTGATTTACTGCTTGTTTACCTGATTAACTTTTAGACAACAACAACAACAAATAATAATAATAATAATAATAATATTAAAAAATAAAAATAATAATTATAATAATAATAATAATAATATCTGGTTGCAGTCAAGCTAGCATGTGTATAGATAATGTACTGTATTTATTATCAGAACATGTACAGTATTTAAAGTCAAACAGTATTTCCCCACTGATTTGTGCTTTTTGTGTATAGTTCACTAACTGTAATAGATTAGAATCAAGGACATAGATGTATTTTATGAATGAATTTAAGGTTTTTGGAATTTTAGGTCCTATCCGTGCTCCTGGGAATGTGAGCGTTTTGAATATTACTCAGCATTCAGCAGTAATAACATGGATCCCTTTGTCTGAGGAAGACTTGTATGGATTCTTATCAGGCTACTACTTGTATTACTGGAATACAGAAGACATTAATGAAACATGTGAGTATATAATTTTTCCATTTTTCTTCAGTCAGGCTTAAACCTTTACCTGTTACAGATGCACGTTTAAAGTTATTTATTTATCTTTTTTTTCACTTAAATTGTACACTAAAAAGATTAATTCCAGTTTAATACATCAACAGCATTCAGAATTATTCAAAAATAAAAATAAAATAAAATCTGATGCAAATTACTCATGGTTAATTACTCTAATTACTCACTTCATCAGTATTACTCTGTCACTGATCTTTGCAATATTGTGTGTCTGTGTATTATTAACACTCTTTTTGAAAAAAGTACAAAAACTGTCACTGAGATGGTATTTTTTTAAAGGGTACACGTTTGTTCCTTATACACTTTGAAAATGTACTCATTTCTGTGATGTAAATGGAAAAATGTGGATAAAATGTGAAAAAAAGTATGCGCCCAATTGAGTAGGATAAACTTTTTACCCAACAAGAAAAATATATAAATATAAATAAAAATAATATAAATAAATAAGTTCCAGCATTAACATTTAAAAAGTCCAAAAAGGTGAATTAGTTTTAACAGAGGATGTGATTAAAATGAGTGCGATGGGACAACATGAACAAACTTCCAGACTCACAACATTGTAAATCATCCGAAATGTGGTCATTTTAAAAGGAAAAGCCATCATCAAAGTGGTTCAGTATTATTATTTCCCAACATTGTTTTAGCTGCTGCATTCTCAATGTGTGGCCTCAGTCTCATATTCCAATAAACACTGTGCGTTCATTGCATTTCGTCTTTATCTTCTAAATCGCAAGTCATTTTTTAGGTTTAAAAAAGGCTCAGAGTGGCTTCTCCTTACTTACTTCCAGGGCTGTTTATATTTAGCTGATAAGTTGTTGAAGTTGATATTGATATTTAAGGATGAAAAAAAAACTGTAAGTTTAAACTGGAAAAAAAAAATGACTTTATTAATTTCTAGATACACAAATGAAACTGTATCAAATGAAAAATAAATATTTGCAATTTTATGTAAAATAAAATTATTGTGCGGTTTAAACATCGGTAAGTTAAAGTTGATATTTAGCCGCACCATGTTGTTGTTTCGTAACATCTTATTTTTACAAGGTGGGTTGTTAGCCCATTGCTCAACCTCCAACCTGGAGGACCAGGACATACATACATTACAGACAATTTAGCTTACCAAATTCACCTAAAGCTCATGTCTTTTGATTTGTGGGGCAACCGGAGCACCCAGAGGAAATGCACGCGAACACAGAGAGAACATGCAAACTCCAAACAGAAATGTTAACTGAACCTTTTACAACCCGAACCAGCGACCTTGTTGCTGTGAGGCGATAGTGCTAACCACTGAGCCTCCGTGCTGCTCCAATGGCTTCTCCAACATAGCTTAATCTATGCTTTTTTTTTGGTATTTGGCGTCAACTTTACAAAAAGTGACGATTTTGTTCTCAAGACTCTAATCAGCTTCTTTAGATTGAAACATAGTCAGTGACAGCATGTGTACAGTCATTTGAAAAAAATTAGTTCCATGGTTTTCCATATTACAACATAATAATATAAAAAATCTGGACTATGGTGGGTCTTAATATGTGAAAAATAAAACATTGGATCAGCAACACGTGACATATTGCACTGTGCCATTATTTATTTAACAGAAATAAAGCCAAAATGGAAAAGTCATGAGCGACAAACTTTGGACACCCAAAGTGTTAACATAATAATTGAGAGGGGATGTTGCAGTCTATTAAATGCCTTTAAGTAACTGATCATCAGTAAGTGTAAGTTTCTAAGAAAGCTAGAGGTTTGTCTATTTATTTGAGTCATTAGGTGTGTCTTAGCACAACATCAGCAATGAGATTGGAGAAGAGACTGTTGCTTTCATTCATCTGGGATGGATAATAGGTTACATTCTTTCCAAATTAAGGAGGTTTACTCACAAAAGGAAGACATTTCTATGAGACAGCAATAAATCCTAAACATAATCCCCAGGAGTTGACATCCAAGCAAATTCAACCCAAGATCAAGAAATAGCAGACAAGTTAACATGTTAATTTAGTAAGAACAGCTATAGCTGTTTTAAAAAAAAAGTAGTAGTATGGTTTAGGTTTGCAAAGATGCATCTAAACAAACAGAAATGTTTTAGAGTATGTACTTTGAACAGACAAGACCAAAGTTGAGATGTTTTGCTTTATAGCACAGTGCTACATTTGTTAAAAGGAAAAAAAAAAGCAAAAACTGAACCACAGACATCTCATACCAAAGGTCAAGGATGCTTCTGGAGGGGTGATAATGTTGGGCTTGTTTTGTAGCCACAGAAGCTGCACACTACACAGTCATTGAGTTGACAAGAACTTTTTCATTTTCCAAGGTATTTTAGAGCCAAAATATATTAGAAACCTAAGATTTTGAGGCCATACGTCTGAAGCTAAAGCTTTGCCAAAGTTAGGTCATACAATGTGACAGTAATCTTAGTAACACCAGCAAATCTACAATAGAAGAGCTGCAAACCAAAAGAATAAAGCTGTTGCAATAGTTCAATCAAAGTCCACAGCTTGTCCTGACAGAAATTGGGAGTTTATAGGCAATCAAATCATAGAGTGTCCTAAATTTTAAAGTTTTGGGAAGAAAGCGATGTTTCTTGTGGGGAATGTCCATGGTTGCTCCCTTAAAGCCTTTGACTGATCATTAAACATTCTTAATCTGCATCTAAAGGCAGAACAATGTAATATGAACTGCCAATCAATACAAACATGCACTATTTTACAATACAAAGTACATTTTCTGCATGCCATTTAAATTAAATAAAATTTTCTGGGGAATAACATTCACAATCAACAATATAAACATGCTATGTAAATCAGTCAAAAGAACAATGGCTGAGTTTTCTGATATAAATTTTTTTTTTTTTTAAACTAACAGTGCAGTCAAATCTGTTTGACTCACAACAAATATTGCCTTAAGATATACTCAAAATGAATTAAACTGCATGTTTAACCATTCATGTTCCAGAGTAAATGTATAGGTCAAAAAACTGCTTTTGGTGGGAACATGAGCAATGAAAATGCATGAAAAATGTCTTGCTTAAAAATAGTTTCAAAAATACATTTACTGTATGTAATCTAACAGCTACAGAACTTGTCAAACTACAGTGAGTTACTGGCACTCAAACTGTGGATGGAGTAAAACACGTAATGAGGCTGGGACTGAGCTGTTATCACTAGAATATTTCATGGCTCAGCCAAACAGATTAAAGAACCAAAAAGAACTTTTGAGTATATATATATATATATATATATATATCAAATGGTATATAGCTTATTAGAAGTTTATAAGATACTACAGCTAGTAACGATGTATTCCATTTTAGTCAGGCGTTCATTTTGAATGAAATATGACAATCAATAGTTGAACTATAAAATGGTAGATTAATCTATAAAGAACTTTACATAGGGCGAGGCAGTGGCGCAGTAGGTAGTGCTGTCGCCTCACAGAAAGAAGGTCGCTGGGTTGCTGGTTTGATCCTCAGCTCAGTTGGTGTTTCTGTGTGGAGTTTGCATGTTCTCCCTGCGTTCGTGTGGGTTTCCTCCGGTTGCTCTGGTTTCCCTCACAGTCCAAAGACATGTGGTACAGGTGAATTGGGTAAGCTAAATTGTCCGTAGTGTATGAGTGTGTGTCTGAATGTGTGTCTGAATGTGAGTGTAGATGTTTCCCAGAGATGGGTTGCGGCTGGAAGGGCATCCGCTGCATAAAAATGTGCTGGATAAGTTGGCGGTTCATTCTGCTGTGGCGACCCCGGATTAATAAAGGGACTAAGACGACAAGAAAATGAATGAACTTTTACATAATTATACATATTTTGTCTTTAATTAAATGGCAAACATTTTATAAACTTTCATTAAATACGTTATCTATTTATTTGTTATTGTCTAACATTTCTGAAACCATTAAATGGCATTTGCTATTATTATGTTATGAATGTGTTATGTTTAATGACAACTGGAACACAAAAACACAAAAGTATGATTTTATTATTATAAATTCTGGGTGAACAAAAAAAAAAAAAAATCATGTTTCTATGCAGTTTTTAGTAATCAATGACACATGGAATGGAATTTTTTACCTTTTTGTTTTTTCCATTTTAAACTTTTACAGCCATCAAAGTGGATCCCAGCATAAACAGTTATGAGCTGCTGAATCTGCAAAGCAGCAGTGCATATAGTGTGCAGCTGTGTGCATTTACAGTGGCAGGAGAAGGAGAACGCAGTGATGTTAAGCACTTCGTCACGGATCAGCCTGGTAAACTTATGAAAAATTAATACATCATCATTTAGCTATTTGCCTTACAGTTCAGTACAGGGTTGAAGTCTGAACTATTAGCCACCCTTTTGCATTTTTTTCTTAAGTATTTTCCAAATAATGCTTAACAAAGCAATGACATTTTTCACAGTATGTCAGACAATATTGTTTCTTCTGGAGAAAGTCTTATTTGTTTTATTTTGGCTAGAATAAAAGCAGTTTTTAATGTTTAGGTCAGAATTATTAGCCTCCTAAGCTATATTTTGTTTCGATAGTCTACAAAACAAACCATTGTTATACAATAACTTGCCTAATTATCCTATGCTGCCTAGTTAACCGAATTCAGCCTGTAAATGTCACTTTAAGCTGTATGGAAGTGTCTTAAAAAAATGTCTATTAAGTTATCATGATCATGGCAAAGATAAAATAAATCAATTATTAAAAATGACTTATTAAATCTATCATGTTTTGATATGAAAATTTTCTTTCCATTAATCAGAAACGGGGGGGTTAATAATTCTAACAACAACTGTACATACTGTAGTAAATACAAGTGTGAGAGAATGTGGCTGTATCAGGAGATATAGTTTTCTAGCTGCATAGATTGAAAGAGTTAAATATGTATTGACTACATGCTTCCTTCCAGCAGAGTTCACAGCTTTGAATGGCATTATAGCTGCGATCCTTGTGGGAATAATAATTCTTCTAATAGCAGTTCATGTCAGCTGTCGGATTTTGCACCGGTATGGACATGCATTCAACCTTTTCAAATTATACAACAATATCAATCACTTCAGCAGAAGTTATTATTAATGTGATTTTTTTTTACAGAGCCAAGAAACTGCTCTGGCCTAGTATACCAGATCCAGAGAAGAGCAATGCTGTTCAAAAAATTGTAATCACCTATGAACTGGTAAGCACAGAGCAATGCAATGACAAAGTAATACTTTCCGATATTTTATTGTCATAAAACACTATTTGCAAAAAGTGGCTTTGATCAAATACATGTAATTGTGTATGTATATCTACAAATATTTGGAACACTTTATAACTACACACTATGAATCATTTATTAAGCATTAGCAAATAGTTATTATGTGTTAAGTATTAGCTCTACGTTAATAGACGTCAGTAAACGTCTATTATAAAAAATGAATATAATAATATAAAAAGTATAATGTAATTTATAACTAATAAAAAAATTATAATGTGTTTAATAATTGTATTCTCATACTTTGTTAATGATTATTTTTTCAGTACCTAATTAAGTATTGCATTATTTACAAACTAGTTATTTAAGAAGAGTTAGTGCTATTTTAGGATCATTCAGAATGCATAAATAAATTATTAATAACCTATTCAAATAAACATTTGTATATCTTATTATTCAGGCACATAGTAATAGTTCATTTTTATGTTAATAAATGCTTTATTAAGTCAATTTCATCCAGCCTTGTGACCTAAAGTAAGGACTTTGTATGCTTTATATATCAAAAAAGAAATCCAAATAAATGGCAAATAAAGGCTCGGTTATATTCTAAACAGGAATAAATAACTTTATTCATTTCTATTAATTTCAAGATACACAAATGAAACTGTATCAAATGAAAAACAAATATTTGCAATCCTATGTAAAATAAAATTATTGTGCAGTTTAAACATTGCTAAATTACATTGAAATGTTGTATCACAATATATTGTTAAATTAATATATTGTTGTTGTTTTATCCAATATTATTTGATTGTATTTATTTCTAATTGAATTTTGACACTCCTGTTATTCAGCAATGTTTAAAGTTTACAGTAATTTTCAATTTTCAAAACTGCATGAAGTTAAGGTTAATAAAGCATTTATTAACATTCAAAGTAACCTTTATTATATGACTGAATAATAAGATCCATAAATGTTGATTTCAATAGTTTATAAACTGTTTACTTATTCTGAATTATTCAAAAAGCCCCCAACTACTCTTAAATACAAATGGTTTGTAATTAATGCAAAACTGAATTTAGTAATGAACAATTAATAAGTAACAAAGTATGAAAAAGCAATTATTAAGCACAAAGGTGCTTGTCAAGAATAAAGATTTGTAGGTGAATTTATGAAAGTCTGTTAATGTAGAGATAATGCTTAACAAATAATGAACTATTTGCTAATTCTTAGTAGATAATTCATAGTGTTTACGATTGAGGTTGGGGGAAAAGGGGCGAGGACCCAAGTGCAGGGTAAATAAGTATTTATTTATAATAAAATAAAATAAAAGGCTAAATAAACAACCTTGAGGGGGAAAACATTGACAAAACACACAAAGAAACTTCACTGGGCAGGCTGGTAGGGATCAGGGCTGGACAGACAGGACAAGACTACAAACAACGACATATGATAATGAACTGGCACAGGACAGCAGACATAAGGGGATTATAAGCAGAAATAAATTGACACAAATAGGTGAACATGAGAAACTAATAATGGGTTAATAAAAAGGGTGGGACTAGACAATAGATGGGAGAGCACATGACACAAAGAGACCACACAAGCCATGCGCTCATATAAAACAAGACTAGAACACGCAGCCAATGAGAGAACTCATTAACCGCATGTTCGTATGACAAGACAAACACAACACTGAAGCACACAACAAAAGCATGCGGCCACAATGTAAACACATGCCTCGTGCTTTGACAACAGACGCAAGACAGGAGCACATGATAGATGAACACCTTACCGTGCGCTCAGACTTATGCAACGCACATGTTTCATCTCAGCACCAACCAAAACCGAAACCAACTAGACATACGCTGAGAATGAAACAGAACAAACACAAACACAAGTACAAGAGCATGTGTCCCAAGGACGCACAAACCCCACAGCCTGCGCACACCTACGACAATGCACACCCAGAGACACACATAATGACAAAACAAGTGCTCGACCCAAGAAAACTCGAGCCGAGCACAACAGGACAGGACAAAACAGAGCTAGTGTCTGGACTCTGCCACCAAAACAAGAATTTACAAGAACCCTGACATAGTTGTTGTGTGGGCCCGTCTTAGCGCCGACAATACTGCCCCCAGATGTTGCATATGCCGCTGCCAATCATTACTGAAAATGATTATGTCATCCAAATAAGCAGCGGCATATGCTGAGTGAGGGATGAGTATTTTTTCCATCAGGCGCTGATATGTTGGTGCCCCGAACAGCCCGAATGGAAGCGTCACAAATTGGTGCAATCCAAACGGCATTGTGAAGGCTGTTTTTTCGCAGGATATTGGAGTTAGGGGGATCTGCCAATAACCCTTTGTTAAATCCAATGTCGAGTAATATCGAGCAGCACCTAACCGGTTGGGCAACTCCTCAATACGCGGCATTGGATATGCATCGAATTTCGACACCGGGCTGTCCCAGTCGCTGTGGGATTCTTCTACTACACCCAATTTTAAGATATTACTCTAGCTCAGTAATGTAGTTCCGGATGTCGAGTAGCTGGCTTGCTGAGAGATGATCGCCCCCAGTGACCAGAGTGCTTGGCTGTTTCAAGTCGGTGCTCTCTGGCCCCAGCTCATCCTCATTAGTAACAAGCGTAGCCAGCGCCACCTTCTCTGGCTCCCTCCACAGCTTCAGCAGATTAACGTGATATACCTGACGTGAATCAGCCCTGTCCAAACATATCACCTCATAATCCAGATCATTGACTCGTCATGTCACCACAAACGGCACTTGGTGTAGTAAGTAATTTGGAGCTGGAAGTGGGTAGTAGTACAAGGGCTTTATCTCCCTGTGAAAATGTACATAGTTTAGTGCCCTTATCATAACACCAGCGTTGGTCATCCTGGGCATTGAGAAAATTCTCTGAAGAGAGCCACCCCAGTGTGTGGAGTTTTGCTCTTAGGTCCAGGATATATTGAATTTCATTTTACTCTGCGAAGGTTCATCCTCCCAAGCCTCTTTAACAGCATCCAAAACCCCACATGGCTGTCTGAAGTAGAGAAGTTCGAAGGAGGAAAACCCAGAGGAGGCTTGGGGAACCTCCTGCACAGTGCATAATAAGGGCTCCAACCACTTATCCAAATTTTTTGCGTCCTCGTGAAGGAATTTACGGATCATTGATTTAAGCGTGCGATTAAACCTTTCCACCAGCCCATCAGTTTGTGGGTGATAGACGCTTGTGTGAATAGATTTAACACCCAATAATCCGAAAAGTTCGCACATGGTGCATGACATGAACGAGGTGCCTTGATATATAAGAATCTCGTTGGGGATTCCCACTCGGGAGAGTATACGAAATAGAGCTTCCGCAGCACTCTTTGCTGAGATGTTACGGAGTGCTATTGCTTCCGGGTATCAGGTTGCATAATCCACTAGGACTAATGCATACCGATGCCCGCGTGCGGATCGCTCTAATGGCCCGATGAGATCCATACCAATTATCTCGAAGGAGATCTCCATAATTAGTAAGGGGTGCAATGGCGCTTTTGGGGTGGCCAGTGAATTCACCAGCTGAAATTCGCGGCATACAGTGCACCATCTACTCACATGACCATGAATGCCTGGCCAAAAGAATCCGGTTATGAGGCGATTTAGTGTGGCCGCCTGACCTAAATGTCCGGCCATAGGATTAGAATGAGCCACCTGGAAAAGCATTTCCTGATGGCTCTTTGGTACTAATAATTGGGTTTTATCTTCTTTTGTCTGAGTGTCTTGGGTCACGATACACCCTGTCATTATTGATCGCAAAATACGGATAGGAGAGGGGCTGATCAGGCTGAAGGTTTTGCCCATCAATGACTGGCACTCTTTCGAGTTCATGTCTCAACGTGTCATCACGTTACTGCTCCAGGGGAAAGTCTTTACACCGGGAAATTCCCAGCCCTTCCCCTGAGTGACCACCGTGTGACATCACGATTTGGGATTCCCCCAGCTGAGCGACACTCCCCCTATCCAGCGATTTCTTCTTCCAAGAAACACCCGCACATAAGACCCCTAATAATCTATTAAATCCAGGCCAATTGGTTCCCAGAATGAGCGGGTGTTTGAGGTGCGGGTTAACTGCTACCTTAACGCTATGCTTTTTACCCTGGAATTGAATGTCTATCGCCGTTAACGGGTAGTGAACTACATCCCCGGGGACACACCTCACCCTTACCGTGCAGCTTGCATCCAATGTTGGGTCTTGAAGCAGGCTTTGGTGGATGGAGGTTTGGTTACACCCCGAATCCACCAAAGCTTGATATGTACACCCTTTCATACTCACAGGTATCCGGTATAGCCCGTCACGATCGGGGGCGACGATTGGTGTGGCAGGGATGCGAATCAACGCACTCACCTCCTTCATGGAGCAAACTTTTGGTGCGCTATCCTCGACCCCACAGCGCCAATGCATCAGCCCAGTCCATCTCACTATACCCCAAATTAATAAAGGGACTGAGCCGACAAGAAAATGAATATATATATATATATATATATATAACAGTTTTGTCTGGTTCTCAAATCTGATTGGCTGATAGCCGTGATATATTTAAGTAATATCAGCACCTGTACAGCCTCTTTACGCTTTGTGTTTTACTCCGCCCACATACAGCCAGCAAAAAGCAGACACTACAGATCTTAAATTTAAAAGATGTTTGCTCAACTGTTTAACTGTCAGCTTATGATTTGAATCCGGTAGAAAGTAGTTCCTCATACAAAAGGGTTTTTGAGACTCTCAATGTTTGATTTTGTTTTTATATACACAATTATGCCGTCAAACTGTTGAATAAATGCAATATCACACGAGTAGCAGTGCGATATGGCTGTATATCGGCACTGGAGGTGGCACTAAGGCACTCGGCCTACGACCTCGTGCCAACGTATGCCTCCCACCGGTGCCAATATATAGCCATATCGCACTTCTACTCGTGTGATATTGCTCATATATATATATATATATGAGCATAGTTTAGCTCCAACTTCCTCCAACACACTTGCCTGGAAGTCTTGTATACCCAGAAAGAACTTGATTAGCTGGTTCAGGTGTGTTTAATTGGGGCTGTAACAAAAATATGCAGGACACCGGCCCTCCAGGACCGAGTTTGGACACCGCTGGTTTAAACCAAGTGGGAGCTGAGGGAATTTTCTCTGTGAATCCTTTGGAAAGTTTCTGCCATTTTTCTTTTTTTTTTGTCTCTAGAGTCTCCTGGAGCCACTGACCAGACAAAAGTTAGAGGAAAGTGAGGGTTGTGATTCCAGTACAGTGTGCTTCATTGAGAACAAGAGTTATGCATTTTCATTCAGCAGTCCTTCCCCTTCTCAAGCCGGTGTGAAGCTTCATCTCAGTGAAGATGAGGACAGCCTTTCCAGTATGAGTGAGATCAACCCCCCAGATACCCCAACACAAGTCCCCACCAGAGAATCTGTTTCTACAGAGACCTTCCCGCTGGACTTCAGAAAAACAGACTGCACTTTCAGCAATTCTGTTAATAATGAAGTCATGAGTTTAGAAAGCAAAGACTCTGGAGAGACTATTACAGGTTCAGTCTTCACTCCAGCAACTTCCAAAACGCCTGCTGTGGTTTTCATGAGCGATTACACCACCATGGAGATCTTCAAGCAGGTCACCATGAATGGAATTCAGAGTCCATCTATTCAAACAGTAAAACCAAGTTTTGTTGCTGGACATCCGGGACAGGATTACATTCGACAGTCTGTATTGCAATAAGTAAACAGTCTAGTAAACATGATTGATGTAACAGAACTAAAGTTTTAATACAGCTTCAGCCACAGTGATTATTTGACAATCCCTCTGGGGTCATTTATAAGCATTCATTTTCCTGTTACAACTGAACTTTAGTGACTACTCAACATCTCCCACAATGGATATATTAAATGTTCTCATTTGTTCACAAGTGTTAGTACTGACTTCTGTTTTTTTTTTTTTTTTTTTTTTTTGTGATTGAAATGTTTTGAAACATGTCATTATTCAACTTAAAGTTCATTTTAAATACTAAAGTAGGTTAACTAGTTAAGTTAGGTTAAGGCAATTTATTGAACGACAGTAGTTTCTTCTGTAGAAAATCAGGGGCAAAATGTTCAGGGGCCTAATAATATAAGGCTTAAATTGTAATACATTATTAAATCTGTTTTTATTTTAACCAAACTAAAAGGAGGTAAAATGTGTCTGGCACAAGCTTCTCCACAGCAACAGAGAAGGCTCGGCTGAGCGAAAAAAATACTTCTCTGCATCACTATTTTTGTTAAACAGATTTTTGTACCTTAATTGGGTTCCAGATGCAGTTTATAAACTTGTGGCGTAGTTAAAGCGGAGTTTGATCGGGATATTCCATTACGCTGCATTTTTTACGTCTGCAATCGGGTGCTCTCTGTTTACGCAACGTTAGCTCTGTTAACTCGGTAATTTAGACAATAGACTGTTGACAGAGTAACGTTAACGTTCGTTTATAAAGGTTAAAACGATGCTTTTGCAGTTGTGTCGAATAGTATGCACTTATGAGAGTTATATGGTACGTCTAAATTACTGTCTTTTGCAGACAGCAAGATATATGCTATAGGCTAGTTAACCGTAGCATAGCTTCCCATCACTTTTTATTAACTTGAAACTCCTCAAATACATTTGGGCACCCAGAAAAAGAGTGAAAAAGAGTGAGACTGCTGCTGAGCCATTTCTTGGTCCTCCACCAAAAAAAAAAAAAAAAAAAAATCTTCAGGTTCTGTCTGGAAGCATTTTACAGTCAGTGGTGCTGCAGATAAAACAAAGTGATACTGTATGTAATGTGTGCAAAAGTGAAATCAGCAGAGAGAGATATTAAACATCTGTCAACATCTTCTGTGCATAATCATTCATTTCTTTTCGGCTTAGTCCCTTTATCAATCTGGGGTTGCCACAGTGGAATGAACCACCAATTTATCCAGCATATGTTTTACGCAGTGGCTGCCCTTCCAGTTGCTATCTAGCACTGGGAAACATCCATACACTCTCTTTCACACACATACAATAGGGACTATTTAGCTTACCCAGTTCACCTGTATTGCATGTGTTTGGACTGTGGGGGAAACCGGAGCACCCGGAGGAAACCCACGCCAACATGGGGAGAACCCAGTCGAGGCTCGAACCAGCAACCTTCTTGCTGTGAGGCGACAGTGCTACTCACTGTGCCACTGCGCAACCTTCTATGTAATGTATTATCACATGCACTAAAAGCATCCTCTCCTGATACTGTCTGTGAACCCCCCACAAGCATCAACCCCCTCAATCAGCACAGCTATGTTCTGCTAAATCATCCACAAGCACCAAACCATCAACACAGCCACATTCTGCCCCAGCAAGTCAGTTTCAAACATAAAAAAAAGTAAAAAAACAAACAAACAAACTTTTAGTATTATATAGAATACTTTTGTTCTGCCAGATCTCCCAGGCAGGGTTTTATTTAGATTTATTTAGTTAATTTTAGTTTTTGGAATTCTGTGCATTGGAAAGAAGTTCTTTCAGAAGAAGAACAGTTTTTTTAAGTATTATTTGTTTTTATTCTGTCTATTCAGTGTCAAGAACCGTGGTGGTGGGGTTCATAATATTCACAATGGTATTTTATTAGTTGTTGGTTTAGCCATGGATGAGATAATGGCTTCTATGTAATTTTCTTTTCAATGACATTTCTTGTCACATGTTCAAAAACAACAACCAATATTGCATATCTATAATTTATATAATAGGTATAATTAAACAATACTTTAACTATAACGTAAATTAGAAGTGTAATAGAAAAAATATATATTTTTGCGCCATTTTGAATTTTAACTCGAATACAAATACAAATACAAATACAAATACTTTTCCCCCCTCAACAAATACAAATACAAATACCGGCTGCTCCGCACATCCCTAATATATACATATATATATATAAAACAGTTTTGTCTGGTTCTCGAATCTGATTGGCTGATAGCAGTACGTTATTCTGCAATATCAGAACTTGTACAGTCTCCCCACTCTTGTGTATTACTCTACCCACATAGAGTGACAGCAGATCAATAAACTCACTACAGTTTGACAAATATTGCAGCTATTGGATAACAACATGTACTTTTGAGGCTTTTTTAGGCTAGACAGTAATTATTTAGATTGCAATTATGCAGTTTATTTATAAGGATAATTTAAATATGTATAATTTTTGAGATACAGCACATCGGCATCTGTTTGTGTTGACCATCTGTTTGTTTCTATATGAACTCTCTTTTTCATACTGCAGACTAGTTCAATAAAAAGTAAGAAGTAATACCCGCATATGTATAGTGTTTTTCCTCATCACAAACACAACAGTAATCTGGTAGTGCTTGCATTGCTTTGGCTTTTTTTTTTTTTTTTTTTTTTGTGATATCCTGATTGCAACAGAGAAATACTGGTAAATGTCTGTAGACTGTTGGCATTTCATGCCGTTCAGTCTTATGATCTTAACATGTCAGCAAATTAACTTGCTTAATCATCAATTAATACATTATTCTAGAAAATCATTAAAATACTAGCTGTAAAGTGACATTGGTGAAGTAGCGCCAATGTCCAATGAAGGAGTGGCGGAAGAAACTAATTCCTCGTACAAAAGGATTATTTTTAGACTCTACGTGTTTGTTTTTCATTTTTATATTCTCGATTATATGTCGAACTGGTGTATAAATGCAATATCACACTTGTAGCAGTGCAATATGACTGTAAATCGTCACTGGTTGGGGGCACTAAAGCTCTCAGCCAATGCACGCCTCTCACCAGTGCTGATATACTTTGCCACTGTATTAGCACAAGGACATATATAGTCCTGACTACTGTACATCCACAAATATATGTCATGTGATCAAAGAACTAAACATTACATAATAATATTAAATATTTCCAGGAGACTCCTAATTTATTTAACATTTAAAATATTTAAACAAATAGTTTGACCATATATATATATATATATATATATATATATATAACTATAACTATATATATATAATAACTATAAAAAAAATATTCAGTCACTATAAGCTGTATAGAAGTGTCTTGAAAAATATCTAGTAAAATATTATTTACTGTCATCATGGCAACGATAAAATAAATCAGTTATTAGAAATTAGTTATATAAACTATTATGTTAAGAATAAGTTGAAAAAAAAATCAATTAACATTCGCAATGCATAGCTGATTTAACCTACATTGCACTGGTAACTTCCTCAAGCATTTTACACATAGGATATGTATAAAAAATCCTGAAACCTAACAAATGTTGTCCTTTATAAAAACAAATGTTTTTGCTTGTTCATGTCTATTTATGCTTTTAATTTTTTTAAACAAATAAGTCCTAATGTCAACTACACAGAGGATACTGAATAACAAAAATAAATGATATATTTTCACAATTTTCTTTTTTTTTTTTTTTTTTAAATTAAATGAATATGATATGAAACATTTAAGGCCAAGACTCATCTAATAGTAATCAAATGTTTAGGTAGAGTACATTACTTAAAACATAAAATCTATGTTACAAACCACACATTGTTATTTAATAATTATTAATAGACAGCAATTTCAGAGTAACTGGCTATTTTTTTAGGCATACCTGTCCAACAATTTGTTAACAAAAATTTCTAATGAGCCAATCACACGGCAGCAACTCCACGCATTTAGGCATGTAGACATGATCTAGACCAGGAGTGTCAAACCCAATTCCTGGAGGGCCGAAGCCCTGCACAGTTTAGTTCCAACCCTGCTCCAACACACTTACCTGTAGGTTTCAAACAAGCCTGACAGACTCAATTAGTTTGATAAGGTGTGTTTAATTAGGGTTGGAACTAAACTGTGCAGAGCTACGGCCCTTTTGGAACGGAGTTTGACACCTGTGATCTAGACGATCTGTTGCAGTTCAAACAGAGCATCAGAAAAGGGAAGAAAGGTGATTTAAATGACTGAACGTGGCATGGTTGTAGGGGCCAAACAGGCTGATCTACAGGGGTTTTAATGCAGAACCATCTCTAGGGTTTACAGAATATGGTCCAAAAAAAAAGAAAATCTCCAGTGAGCAACAGTTTTGTGGGCGCAAATGCCTTGTTGATGCCAGAGGTCAGACTGATAGAAAGGCAACAGTAAGACAAATAAGCACTCGTTACAACCAAGGTATGCAGAAGAGCATCTCTGGAAGCACAACACTTTCCAACCTTGAATCAGATGGGCTACAGCATCAGAAGACCACACTGGGTGTCACTCCTGTCATCCAAGAACAGGAAACTGAGGCTACAATTCGCACAGGCTCACTAAAATTGGACAATATAAGATTGGAAAAATGTTGCCTGGTCTGATTAGACTCAATTTCAGCTGCGACATTTGGACGGTAATTTAGGCTGGTGGTGGTAGTGATGTAATAGATATTTTCTTGGCACTCTTTGGGCCCACTAGTACCAATTAAGCCTCGTGTCAATGCCACAGCCTACCTGAGTATCCCTACTTTCATCAGGATAATGCACCATGTCATAAAGCGTGAATCATCTCAAACTGGTTTCTTGGACATGACAATGAGTTCACTGCAGTCAAATGGTGTCCACAGTCACCAGAACCAATAAAATAGAGCACCTTTGGGATGTGGAGGAATGGGAGATTTGCATCATGGATGTGCAGCTGACAAATCTGCAGCAACTGCATGATGCTATCATCAGCGAGTGTATATCTACCACTGACAATGTGTAAATAAACATTTTGCATTAATTGACCACTTTAAATTGACAATCCACGTTAAATTCAACATTTATAATTTATTCAGCTTATGTTGTCACAAACCTGTGTAACATTTGCAGAACACAATACAAGACTATTTGAAGAATGTTTAAAATTACCATACAATGAAAATGGCAAAATGCCTAATAAAATACCAATGTCACTGTTCGCAAGTGTTCTAAAACCATGACTGGCATACAAAACATTTGCTTATGACAAATATTTAATGCTCCAAACTCTCAACTATCATTTCCTTTTGTATGCATTTAAACATTTGACCTTGTTGATGTATATCAATCTGAATACTTGGAAGCATTAAAATATCTTGTAATAAAAAAAAATAAATAAAAATAAATAAATAAAAACATTAAGTGATTAGAGTCACGTAATGGGACCGTGACCTACACCAGAGTGTAATCAGTGTTTATCAAAAAAATAAAATAAAATGATTGGAAACTAGGTTCAAGCTTTCAAGCTAGAAGTGGAGTGTATAAAAAGAGTTTCATTAAACAAATGAAAAAATACAAGAGATATTTGAGCAGGAGATAGAGTAGTGCAATTTCGAAATTACAGTCAGTCTGTGAATGAATAAATGAATGAATGAATGGCTGTTCTAAGTTTGATTAATCAAATAATTTAGATAAAATCCTCTTTAATTAAATGTCCCCCCAACCCGCAGAGCTGTTGATTTGCAATACAGCGTACAAGTCATGGACCACATATGTGGTATTATTATATGACATTTATATGACAAAATGTACTTTTCTTTGGGTCATTTTTGTCACTCATACTGTAAGGATTTTTCATGACCAACAACTATTTGAAAAATATTAAAGCAAGGCTGTAATTTTTTTATGTACTACATTTTCAACCATTCTTGAACATGACATGTCATTAAAAATGTAATCTGTAACCATAAAAATAGAATTATTTAAATTCGCTATATTTTAAAAGTGTAAAGTATGGAACCTTTGAAGATCAAAAGCACAAGACAAAATGTAACATTGTAAAATGCGATTATAATTTAAAACATCTATTTCTATATGCATATATAGTCAAATGTAATGTATTCCTGTGACTTAAACATAAGTACACATTCAGTTACACAGTCTCTCAGAAATTATTTTACGCTGATTTCCTTTTCTGTTATGATTATTTATGGAGTTCAGTTGTTAAATAAAAGTTATCAATGATGCAGTTATTTACTTTTGCTCCATGTTTTTGTATTATTGTATGATTTTATATTATGGATTATAAAATTTAAATTTAACTCATGTATGCAATTTAGAATGTCAATTTTAATTAATTAAATGCGTTCTTGATTATTAAAAGTATTTTTTGTAAGGTAAACTTGCTACTTTATCAAAAAAGCACAATATAAAGAGCATCAAATCATCATATTAGAATGATTTCTGAAGGAATGTGTGACCCTGAATAATAATGCTGAGAATTCAGCAGTAAAAGGCAAGAATACATTACATTTAAAATATATTTATTTAGGGGAAAATATGATATTCTAATAAACAAAAAAGTGAGCTTCAAATGTGGAGACAACACTGACATTTTCTTTAGAAAACACTGTGGAACAGATGAATTGGAAGTACAGTATAACCTCTTTAATATAAATGTTATGATAGGGAAAGTCTTTTATACATGTATATCGAAACAGAGAATCAGTGCTCACAAATCAAAAAGTTACTCAATTCTTATTCATATTAGTTGTTCTGCTAACAAGTACTGTATAAAATGATACATACCTAATTACAAAATGAGACTGAACAAAACAAAAACACCCGATATAAAAAATAAATAATATTCAAAAGCTTAAAGCTTTAAATTGCAGTTATTCCAAATGGGACAACAGTCGCCGCTAATAACTTTACTGCGCTCAGCGACCAGTAAAGGCTTCTTGGAAAACTGGATATATGCCACACCACAATACTTGACCGAAGAGCTTATTTTAAGTCTCTGTATACACTGTTCAAACAAAATACTGTTAAAAATAAAACTATGCATTTTACACAAGCTTAACTATGATGCTAGATAAGATCTTATAAGATAAGATTCAGTTACTTCATTTACATTGTTAAATATTGTTGCCACACAATCTTTGTCTAGGCACTTTTAACATGCACTGTGCTTCTACACAGTTCACTCGTAGTGTTACTCCACAGTACGCACATACTAAATGCTTTATAGTTTATCTTTACTTTAATTGATGGAAAGACCAGGTAGAGCAGATGAATCTTTAGGCAAACCTTTTAAACAGGGGAAAAAAACAACGCCGATTTAATGTTGTTTACATTATAGCACATAAAAATGAGGAAAAAGAAATGCCATAAAATGTCAAATTAAAATAAAAAAGTCTAATAGTTTAATGCAAAATATATTGTTTGACTTTAGAGTAAAACATAACTTGCCTTGAGAATAGCACTAATAAAAAGGCTTTATTTTAGTAAAATTGACCAAAAAAAGGACTCAAAACCAGTAGAATATAAACACAACTTTACATGCAAAAGAAAACAAACGCTTAATGAGTTTTAAAAAGTTGTTCAATAAACCACTTCTTTCTGACAAAAAAAGATCTTTACATTTTCATCCATATGAATATCATATGACAGGAGCATATTCACAGCAGCAGAAAACGTATTAAGAAACCTACAATCACACAACGAACACAGAAGAAGCACTTTAAAAGGAGTGTCAGTTGTTACAGTATGATACACAGTTCTTGGCATTACTGGTAGACGGTGATCACTCAGCTGCAAAGAGATCGTCCTCCTCGGCGTAAGAACTCCTGTAGCTGCCATTGAGATGAGCTGGAGGAGATCTGTCATCGCTAACCATTGAGCCCGAGCCGTCCATTTCACTGTCATACTCGTGTTCCATCTGTTCATAGACCCTTTCTCTCTGCAAAATCAGAGAGAAAAACTCAAAAAAAAAGCCCAACAATACTGTCTACTTAGTAAAACTGACTGAATGGACGTTTCATTTAAACAATATTCAATCAGCCCCATTCAGATTACTTGATTTTTCCCAATAGTGGCATGATTTGTTTGACATAGGGCACAGGTGTCAAACTCCTGGAGGGTGTTCCTGGTGGGCTGTTTAGTTCCAACCCTAATTAAACACACCTGATCCAACTAATTGACTCCTTCAGGCATGTTTGAAACATATGCCTCATTCACACTAACAGCGACTTTGTAGTTGCATGCTGCAAACACAGGTTTGGGTAGGTCTACAGCACAGAGAATGGATCACGTGAGCTCTACCGGTGCTCTTGTTGGCTTTCACTGAAGAAAGTCATTCTTCATTTGCATAATGTTGAAGGATTCTCAACTTTGTCATGTCGCTCGACACACCCACCTGGTAGATATATAGATACTGTAGATATATACACTAGATATCGCATACAGACCCTGAGTATGTGTCAATAGTGCCACCACATTTGTTCAGTGCCCCCAGGACAAATGTCATTCAACCTCACTAGTCAAGACAAATGTGAAGATGCTGAACCTTAACACTGTGTACGGGGTGTAGTAACGAGTAAACAAAGAAAACAAAGCACAAAGGCAGAGCGCTTCATAGGTAAGATTTAGTTTTTATGTTTTTGCGTGTCACAAAATTTTGTGCTAAACAAATATTGATGATAACAGTCACTTAGGGTACTGATCATAAGGCAAAGTAGCACCAACTCGCACTAAATACTTATGCTAATTTGGTTGAATAAAATGAGCAAACAATGTAAATAAAATATGGCATCAAGATGCTGTGATGCTAGAAACTTGTATTATTGTCAGCTAAGTTAAATACCCCTTAACTACCAACAACTTGATGAAAGAAATGTATAGAAAGCACAGCGATAGGAAGACTTGACAAGTGCAGCCTTCGAGTCAGGAACAACACTTTTGAAAAAGAATAATAATAATAATAATAATTGCTCACATTTATATATCGCTTTTCTGGGCACTCAAATCGCTTTACACAATGAGGGGAATCTCCTCATCCACCACCAGTGTGCAGCATCCACCTGGATGACGCGACGGCAGCCATTTTGCACCAGGCCTCACACCACACACCAGCTAAATGGTGGAGAGGAGACGTGAGGGTGATGAAGCCAATTATGATATGGTGTCCTTATGAGACAGATCAACACAATTATTTGTATTATTTACTAAATATACACAGCTCCCTTTACTCCCCACCCTAATACCTCAACTCAGAGCAAGCCTCTGGTAACTGTGACATGATATATAAAGGCTTATGGCTGTAAAAATTTGAGTTTGCCCCAAATGCTTAGAAAATAACCATAGAAAGATTGAGAGAGACATGCTTCCCATTAAAAGGATTTTTTCTCTATTATTGATAGACAAACATGTCTATAAATTAACCTACACATTCCTGGAACAGCATTTTTGTCACTATTTGTGTTTGTACAACGCTCTTGGTATTTTATATATTTAACGCATACCTTTCTATTTAATTTCATGTTAGCTATTCTATGCTGTGTACCTTGGTGTACAGATATTACTTTGATTTCGATTTGATTTTGGCTGCAATACACTCCAAAATAGTTGGGAGAGTGCATGTTTAAGATAGCATCCCATCAACTTTACTTCTAATTACAATGTTAAATTATCTGGAAATTTAAGATACCAATAAAGTGAGTTTTACAAGCAATTTTTCCCAAATCTAACAATATACAAAATTACCTATACATTATTTTCAACATACTGCAGACTGCAGTCGTGCCAGTCAAGCACATTCAGTCTATGGGCCCTATCATACACATGGCACAATAAGGCGCAAGATGTGTTTGGCTTGATGTGTTGCTATTTTCAGACCAGCAAAACCCAAATTTTCCCTATGCTGCACCACGTTGTTTAAATAACAAATCCATTTGCTTTGCTTTGTGGACTCATAGGTGTTTCGGTCTAGAAAGAAAGTGTGTTAAGTCACATTGTTGGCGCGTTGCTATTTCGAGGCACTAAAATAGACTGCGCAACCGACCAGCTGAAAGCAGGTCTTAAGTCTAGTGCTGAGCACGTTAGTTGTACAAATTGCTTAAAACTTTTGTGTATTGATGTACATCCTGTTTATCTTTACAAATAAAAAAAGAATTAAAGGATTAAAATGTTACAAAAATTATTATTTTCCACATAAACATAAAAACCACTACCTCCATGCCTTCTTCATCTCGGGGGGCTTTTTCCAGTTTATTCATGACAATTTGCATTTGTATAATGTTATTATTATTAGCAGTTTTATTTAAGATATGCATGTTTATATTTGTTTTAATAAAAACCAGTTTAGATTTGTCCACCTGTCGGGTTTTAGACCACATGGGGCAGAAGAATAGGACGTTTGAATATAACTCAGTTTTTTTGACCACACTTCATTATTATTGCTCATTTGCTGGAAATTAAAACTAAATTTAGAAATAGTTTAAAAACAAATCTTTGCGCTTGAGAAACAAAATTGATGCCAATTGATGTCTTCAGTGGACACAACGCAACTGACTTATAAAAGGGATGAGAGAGGAGACTCTGATTAGTTTAATGCGCATTATGCTCAAATCACACCCATAAGAATAAGCACAATCTTGCTAGACCATGTGCCGTGGCACATACCATATTTTTCCGTCCCTAAAATAGCAAAAGCTGATTCAGGCATGACCTTAATGTTTTTGCGCCCTGTTCTTTAGACTTTGCGCCTAGATCGTTAAAACAGAGCCCTTTATCTTTGAAACCATGATGTTGTAGCACATGCAGAAAGTGACAATGTAATATATGTAGACTTACTTATAAACGATGCAATATTGATGGAGGAATATGTCTCTGTTTACTCTTAAAACTTACAAATTAAAATGTAGATCCCTCTGAGCTGAGAACCAACAGCATCACTACACAAAACTGATATACAACTTTCACCTTGGTAAACAAAGAATTTTTTATGTTTCAGATGACAGAGTTTTTCTGATGTTCTTCTGAGCCTGTGGCTTTATTTGAAAGCACAGCATTACAGTTTTTTATTAGGTCATCTAAGGGCTGAATGTCATCCACATTCTGCAGAGAATTTCTGACTTCTAATAATAATAAAAATTTAATCCTTTAATTATTAAAAAAAATGTTTTTATGTTAGTTGATGAAAACCTAAACTGTTTGCAATATTGCAGTGAGAAATGTGATGTTTGATTTGTTTGACAATTCCCTCTCGACTTTTGTCACAAATGATAAACCATGATCAGCCTTTACTTTTGCATGCAAATATAAAACTCTCTTGAATTGAGGTTGTAATTATCACTAATTTGGATTTTTGATGTTTGCCGTTTTGATGAACTCTGTACGTTTTCATCAGATATCAAAATGAAATGTACAAAGTTCACACTTTGTCAATAAGATGTCACAATTTGGGGGAAGTACAAGAGCTTTACGGTTAAAACTGTAATAATGATGTGTATCGTAGGCAGACAGGCTTGATTGTAAAATTCAATCTTTAACAGGATCAGCAATGATAACCTGTTTCTTATCTAAAAAAAAAAAAACTAGAGCAGCACACCGAGATGTAGCTGAGCTACATACTGTGCAGTTTATTTGAATCTGCAACGGAGGTCTTTGAAGTGCATGCTGAGCAATAAATACTTCAGTTTTCAGCACTTCAATAATTGCCAATAGATTAAAAAACTGATCCAGTTAAATCAGTAAAAAACTGACAATTCCCCAGTAAATATCTTATGCTCCATTTATTTTTGTTGCTCCATGTGTGTATCTGAAGCTGTTTGCTTGAAATGTAAACTGGACTCACCTGGGAGGGTTTTGCTTTATATTCAGAATCCCTGCTTTTTCTTCTGAATGCTGAGCTCTCAGCTCTTTCCCTGCTACTGTCCCATCCTTTCTCCCTCTTTTTTTCTCTCTTGCCTCTGAAAATAGAATATTAAGATTTTACAAATGACTTTAGTTATACATTAGCGTCAGACACATATTGTCACTCTCCGTGAACCTTTTTGTTGGTGTTGGTGACCTGGCTCTCTGCCTTGGTGACCTGGATGGAGATCTGCTTCTTTTCTTATGTCCTCTGTGAGATGAAGGTGGAAAGAAATAATTGAATATAAATATCCTCTTCACTATGTAGTAGCTGACTATTCAGTCTGGAAAAATTTGAGCATGTGTTGCTTTTACTAGTAAATCTATCTGTTCTGTAAGAAAGTAATAAAAAAAAGAAAATTACACTTTGGCCCATTTTCCATTTATTTTCCTTAAACTGGAATGAATAAATGTATAATTTATTGTAAACCAAATGAATTTTTATTAATGTAAAAAAATGAAAAATGTGAGGGCAACATTTGATTGTGTTACTATTTAATCATTCATTTTCTTTTCGGCTTAGTTCCTTTATTAATCTGGGGTCGCCACAGCAGAATAAACGCCAACTTATCCAGCACGTTTTTTTGCACAAATTGATGCCCTTCCAGCTGCAACAATATATATATACCGTAGTGTGTATACATATATACATACAATGTGTCCAAAAAGTATCAAAAATAACATATCCACTATATACAAATAATGAATTGCTCATGGTACAGCAGCAACTTGTTGACTAAACAAGCAATGTTTTTCTTCTGCATTATTTGTGCACATTACCACCTGCTGTACTGTTACGTAATCAGGATCTTCTTCTATTATTTTGTTCTAGCATCGCTCTATCTCACACCTGGAGATATCAGAGTTCAGGTATCAGTTACCTTTGCTTTTATCTTGGCCTCATCTTTTATAGGCCACACCATTAATGGGTAGGTTTCATATTATACAAAAAACATTTGCGTCTCACAATTCAATATGCTTGCCAATCTTCATTAAATCCAACAAACACAAAAACATCATCATCACACTAAAATTTACAAACACAAATATACCTTTTTCAAGATAGACAGACAGTGACATCCCTGCAGGACAACACAAATGTTTTTTTTCAGATTACCAACATTCCGTTCCGATGTGTGTGCACCCATTAATCTGCTAGCTATGGTTATGCAAGAATGAGTGAGGTAAGTGTATGCGTATGTACTGTATGTGCGTGTGTATGCACCAGCTCTGCCGTTCCCAGGTGTGAAGATCATATCTTCACATACATACAGTAGATACACACACACACACACACACACACAAAGTATAAATACATTTATCAGTAAAAGGCAACACTTGCTTATTCTGAAAAAAACAAAGTACAAATTCATATGCAAACAGGTCATCCCCCCTGATTAGATTACATTAGTCAGAATGTGCTCCACATAGATGAGTGGGCATGACAAACCACCTTCCTTTCTGTATGCTGAGAGGATTTTGTTTAGATTTTTTTTATTTATTGTTACATCAGCAACTTATGGAAATTGCATGGCAAGATTAATAAAGATAAAGTCTGGTAACTTTCATCAATATTTTACACTAAAACATTGGATATGATTTTTCAGTGCAACATATGATCATTTTTAATTCTTGCTCACAGTATAAAGCTCTTGTCCAATGGCTCTTAAAATTTCGCATTATAATAAAAATGTTTTAAGAGTGAAGCTTGACAGTGGTTGCATAGTCAGCACTAATCTTGATTGGCCAACTCGGCTTATTGCTATTTAAAGCTAAGACCGAGAAAAACATATTAGACCTAGCATTTAGCATTTATATATTGCTACTCTCTTGTAATTTGAAATGCTTCTTTTATCCTCGTTTTTAAGTTGCTTGAATCAAAGTGTCTGATAAATAAATAAATATATATATATATATATATATATATATAAAATTTTTCTTCTTAGTATATACTTGTATATACTTAGTGCCCCCACAAGTGCCTGCTATATCGCACTGCTACGAGAGTGATATTGCATTTATACAACAGTTTGACAGCATAATTGTTTATATAAAAACAAAATCAAACTTGATGAGTCTCAAAAACCCTTTTGTATAAGGAACTACTTTCTTCCGGATTCAAATCATAAGCTGACAGGTAAACAGCTGAGCAAGCATCTTTTAAACTTTAGATCTGTAGTGTCTGCTTTTTGCTGGTTGTATGTGGGCGGAGTAATACACAAAGGGTAAAGAGGCTGTACGGGTGCTGATATTACTTAAATATATCACGGCTATCAGCCAATCAGATTCGAGAACCAGATAGAACTGTTGTATATAACATGGTCGTAAGTGATCAAAAGTTTGGCTATAGCTGCCCAGTTTGTCCTTTTTTGAACTCTGATTTGTCACACATAATGTAGTGTGCATTGCAATATTTTAAGCAAAACTGAGCTATTACTCTGCTAATTAAACCTTTACACTCTGCTCTTACTGGTGGACTGTGTGTGTGTGTGTATGTGTGTGTGTATATATATATATATATATATATATATATATATATATATATATATATATATATATATCAATTGAGTTTTTTTAATCTTTTTGTGCATTCATCTGAAAGAATAGCCTTTCATTCTCTGTCAAAATGTTTTTTTTTTATTGATTGCTTATTATTTGTTTTCTGTGATGTTTGTATCAAAAATATTGATATAACTGTGATTTAAGAAAATAATGACTTTGAGTTTCATTATGTTCTCTTTACTGTCTAATACTCATTGTACAAGGTTGTCAAATACTACAATGAAACCTTAGTAAAATATCCCTTACCCATATGTCAAAAAACTTAAGGGCTATAATGCAGCCAGTCCCCGATCCTAAATGGGGCTCTAGCAAAAAAGGACATTTTCTTCTAACCTGCTTGTACTGCGGGACCGTCTGGAACCAACATAGCATTTTGGAGGCGATCTTCCTGTTTTGTCCCGCAGCCTCTTTTCATCCCAGTCATCGTCCTTCCTTCCTTTACTGTCTTTGTCCTTCCTTCGGCCCCTGTGTTGGGAGACAACACTGGTCATAAATGTACTTTGCGGGAACAGACTGTAAGTGGAAAGAGGCCAGTGTGGAGGTGCCGTTTAACCTGGAATGAGATCGACTCTGGCTGCGTCTCCTTTCTCTGGAACGAGAATGTCTCCTATGGGACCCACGTGAGTCATTAAATCTCTGCCGTGATCTCTTTGATGGATGCCCTCTATAAAAAAAATAATGTAATATCAACAAGGTATTTAACACTGCTTCAGTGAAACATATTTATGGATTACACAGATTTTAAGCATGCACATTGCATTGATTGCATTAATAAATGCACAGGTTTCCTTATTTTTAATTATTGATTTAATTTACAAATGTATAGGCACAGTGTTGCATTTACATATTTTAATAATAATAATAATAATAATAAATTAGGCTTCATCATGATTTTTTTTTCAAATTTAAGACCTCTTATGATGCTAACTAACAGCCATTTCATATAAAACAAGATATGTTTATGGCCCTAAAAACTGGATTAAACTAAACACATTTTAAGGGGGCTTTCACACCTGTGAATTGATTCATTTGTTCCGAAACAGGGATTAAAATTGTTACAGTGTTGCTTTTTGTTCTCGGTGCAGTTTGCTTTCACAAGGCAAAGTTTATAAATGGACCAAAAGAGCTAAAACAAGTCACGTGCAAATGAACTCTCCTTACATTGGTCAGAGTTTCACAGTTTATTTTGCAGAGTCCTGCTCAATTGTCACCCTTATTTTAATTTATGATAATGAGCAATAGGACACTATAAGCCAGGGGTGTCCAAACTTTTTGGGCCGAGGGCCAGATGCAAAAAAACAAACGTTGTCGCGGGCCAAATTTTACATACATCACACAGACACGCATATATATATATATATAAATACAGTTGAAGTCAGAATTGTTAGCCCCCCTAAATTATTAGCCCCCGTTTATTTTTTCCCCAATTTCTGTTTAACGGAGAGAAGGTTTTTTTTCCACACATTTCTAAACATATTAGTTTCAGTAACTCATTTCTAATAACTGATTTATTTTATCTCTGCCATGATGACATTAAATAATATTTGACTAGATATTTTTAAGACACTTCTATACAGCTTAAAGTGACATTTAAAGGCTTAACTAGGTTAATCAAGTTAACTAGTCAAGTTAAGGTAATTAGGCAAGCTATTTTATAACAATGGTTTGTTCTGAAGACTTAGGGGCTAATAATTTTGACCTTAAAATGGTTCATAAAAAAAATTAAACCGCTTTTTATTCTAGCCGAAATAAAACAAAAGTCTTTCTCCAAAACAAAAAATATTATCAGACATACTGTAAAAATGTCCTTGCATCATTTGGGAAATATTAAAAAAAATAAGAAATAAATCAAAGAGGGGCTAATAATTCAGACTTCAACTGTGTGTAGATAGATAGATAGATAGATAGATAGATAGATAGATAGATAGATAGATAGACAGACAGACAGACAGACAGACAGACAGACAGACAGACAGACAGATGGATCATAACAAGAACTGCTGCTTAATTGAATGCATGTAATAGCGACACCCGGTGGTTATTTATTGAATTACGTTCATTTTTGTATAGCGGGCCAGATTCTATTGATATTTATAAAAAGCCTCGCGGGCCGCCACAAAACTGATTGAGGGCCGCAGATGGCCCGCGGGCCGTAGTTTGGACACGCCTGCTATAAGCGGAAAGCTGCGCTTTAAATTTGAATGGTGACACCCACAGACATTGTCACAGATATAAATCAGAGGTAAGACTTTCTCATAGAGCTCAGAGCTCTGGCTAGACGGCAGTTCGGTCAATGTTCCTAATGGGTAAAGAGCTCTCGTTAATAGTTCAGCATGCTTTCACTTTCGTATTTAACATTCTTACAGAGAATGTGGTTTAATGATTAATCGAAACTAACTGCATACAACATAAATTTAGCATTTGCAAAAATGATTTTCTTTGTACTGTGCATATTTATAATGCATATATGTACAGTTGCCATTAGAATTATTAACCCTCCTGAATTATTAGCCCCCTATTTATTTTTCTGCGATTTCTGTTTGACAGAGAAAAGACTTCTAAACATGTTAGCTTTAATAACTCATTTCTAATAACTGATTTATTTTATCTTTGCTATGATGACAGTAAATAATATTTTACTAGATTTTTTCAAGACACTTCTATACAGCTTAAAGTGACTTTTAAAGGTTTAACTAGGTTAAATAGGTTAACTAAGCTGGTTAAGGTAATAAGACAAGTTATTGTATAACGATGGTCTGTTCTGTGGACTATCGAAAAATATATAGCTTAAAGGGGCTTATAATTTTGACCTTAAAATATAAAAAAAAAAAAATTAAATACTGCTTTTATTCTAGCCAACATAAAACACATACGACTTTCTCCAGAGGAAAAAAATATATAAGCAGACATAATGTGAAAGTTTCCTTTCATAAAGCTCTGTTAAACATCATTTGGAAAATATAAAAAAAAATAATCAAAGGGGATTTAATCATTCTGATTGCAACTGAACACACATGCAAAGAAAATGTGTGTTTATATATAAAATATTTAAAATATATAATATATAAACATGGATATATATGTAAATATGTTTATGTGTACATCTACATATACACTACTACATACATGTACATAAAAACATTTATTTTATATATGATTAGTCACCATAAATTTTCAAAGAGCACTACATGGTACATTACTGATTATTTGTTTAAATCTTTCTTTAGTCCATTAAAGTTCCTTTTAAATGGATTAGATTTGATTTGAACAGTTATACAATTACAAAGGGATAATAAATCTTCGCACTTTTACCATGTAAATATAATACTAATACCCCTAATATATCTACATGGTCAGTAAGATTATTTTTGGTTAATGTAGTCAGCATAACTTGTGTAGCTCAATAAATGAGTAGCTTCATAGTATTTTAACTGCTTCATATAGTGAGTAGCTATTGGCTTCACAAACTACTAAGGTTGCGTGTAAATCACCTGTGTCTAGACCTGGATCGCTTTCTTCTTGAGTTAGATGGAGAACAAGAGTGAGATCTGGACCTTCTGGAATGCCTGGATCTACTGGATGAAGGGAATTCATTTTCTGCAAGAAACAAATAAAATTGCCATAAAATAAAAAAGATAAACATGAAAGCATCACTATGAGAGAGTCAGGGTTTTAAGAAGACCAACCTGGCTCGATAGCAGCAGCAATGGTTGACTGAGCCTCTCTGACTTTCTTCATGACGTCCTCTAGCTCTTTGGCTGCAGCTTGGGGTGTAAGCTCTGGAGGCTTCACTATGGCATTATTGGAGTGGTTAATCCTGAATAAGATGAAGTCAGGCTGATCAATCACTTATAAAAATAGGATGCACTAAAACTTTTCAAAAAAAAATATTTGTTTTTTTTTTATTTGTTATTAAAAGCAGGGACCAGGAAGGGATGTCCAATCTTGATTCTAGAAGGCCTACGTTACACAGATTTTTAGTTCTAGCAAACTTACTCAGACTTTCTTTAAGAGTTTTGTTTAGTTAGCTAAAGTATTTAATTCAGATTGGTGCTAAACTCTAAATAACAGTGGCCAATCAGAAACAATTAATTAATTTTTTTCAATACGCACAGTTTACAAGTCACCTAAAGTTAAACAGTTGTGTTTTACCATTTATGAATCCATTCAGGATGTCTCTGGGTCTGGCTGAAGCACTTTTAGTGTAGCGTAATACATTTAATTTTTTTCTCTTTTTTTTTTTTAAATGATAAATAAATCTTTGCTAATTGTTTCAAGAGATTAGCAAACCCAGAGATCAGCTAAACGGATAAGACCTAGACCCAGAGATCAGACCAAGAGATCAGCTAAACTTATTAAAAAAATGGTAAAACTCAACTCTACATATTAAACATTAGGTGAATTTATTTGCTAAAAAGTATGTTTCATTCAGAAGAGTTGTCTTCACAATATGAAAGCACTCACTTCAGTGGTCTGTCACCAAACATTACTCCATTATAAGTGAGTGCTCGTGCCACTGAATCCTGATCAGCAAACTCCACAAAAGCAAAACGTGTAGGTTGGGTTTCATCTCCTGCCATTCGGACAAACTTCACATCTCCCACCTGCTTAAAGAACTTGAGGAGCTGATCTGCCGTAGTGCTCTAAAAAACAAGGACAAAACTTGAAAGATGAATAAAAACAATGTATCATTAAAAAAAAAAAAACACACAATTAAACCACAATTTAATCACATCTAGTTACTGTACAATTTTTAACTTGTTAGGTTTTATGTTGGATGCAGATAGTGGATCATAGTCTGATTCCAGACACTGCAATGTATGTCAATGAACTGCAAGATATAATGACAACTGTAACATAACTGTAGTCAAAGCAAAACATCTATGCAATATAGTGTAGTTTTTTGTATAAAAAAAAATGTGTTTCATTCAAACCCTTTTCTCTCCCTTATAATAGGACAAAAGATATCAGATATAAAACATATTTTTTTCAGGTGTACATTTTTAATGAACACAAACAAATGCATAAACCACTTCTACTGCAAATAAAAAAACAAACAAACGTGCACGTAGACTTGTTGACAAATTCTACTTATAGAATATCATATGTTGGTATTATGTTAATGATTGTGTCTATTTATGAGCAATAAATGCTGAATATGGCAATACTGTAAACTGTTTTACAGTACTCTACAATACACTGAAGTAGAATCTTACACTGTTTGTCAAAATAACACTATTTATAAAATGTAACTAGACTATTAATAGATTTATTTTTACATACCTGTGAATTCAAATTGCCAACATACACCGTCCTTCTGATCTCATCCACTTTAGAGGGATCAACATTTCCCATGAGAGGAGGCTGAGCAGAGACTGCACTTAGAGTCGCCACAGAAGTGTCCAAACTAGACTTCAGGACCCCCAGGTTAGCTAAAGGGAGGCTCCGCTGCCCCAAACAAATACAACACACAATTAAAAATCTATCTGGCAAGAAGTTAATGATGCATATAATATTTTTTGCTGGAATACACTACGGATCTTTTAAACATAAACATTAAACCCTAAACAGACAGTAAAACATTTGTCATTATATGCTTACCAAATTTGTAAAAAAAATAAAATAAAATAAATGAATAAATAATAATAATAATAATAATAATAATAACAATAAAAAAATTTAAGAAGATCTGGGCATTAAGTGACTAAAGACTACACATTGTATGCATCTACAACCAGACTTCCAAATCATTTAAAACACAACAAACTTATGCAGGTACAAGAGCCGGAGACATTTAATAAAACCAATATTATTCTGTAAGTCATTATGACTCAAGTCACATCTCATTCAGCAAAAAAAATACTGTTTATAATACATGTTATTGTCTTTAATTTGCAATTTCCTTATATCAGGTGTACAAAAAAGTTAAAAAATAGGAAAAAACCTTAAGTTTCCTAGATTTTGAGGCCCTATACAGTTAGTTAAATCGAGTTAACTAGAGTAAAAGCACCATTTTTTCCAAGCATATTTTAGTAGTGCAGTATAATAACATAAATGAGACATACAAAGATACCCGGTATTGCCAGAACTAAAGTCAAAATGTAAATATTTATTTATTTTATTATTTTTTTTTTTTTAATAAAGTGTTTATAAATTGTTCTTTAAATTGAGAGCTTCTCAGTAGATGTGGTGTTCCAGAAATGGATGAAGGCAAAAAAAAAAAAAAAAAAGCACATGTATTCTAGCCATATACTACTAGTAGTGTGATTTTTTTACATTCTGTAGTGTAGAAGGGCTAGGAATTGGCAGAAGTCCTCCTCCGCTCATCAGGCTGGCCACAGGTGTTGCAGGAGCCAAAAGCGAGAGCGCCTTTGCCTCTTCTGGGATTTTTCCTAAGGAACAAGAGCACCAGGATTAGAGAGGCCAATGGAGAGGTCTTCAGCTGCTTCTGCTAAGACCCAAGATTCAGGAGAGTGTTTCAACAGCCTAGTGCTCTAACACCCACCCTAAGCATCTCCATCCCCGACCATCAACAATCAAATAAACTGAACTAGCTTTGCTACTCTCCTTTTACTATCATCACAAGACATATTGAAAACAGGATGACTTTTGCACAAAAACAGAGAAAAGAACATTGTGATGTATCCTTTTCTCTTTAAAGAAAAAGAATAACAATAAAATAACAGAACAGAACATGTAGAGAATGAGTTAACACTTTGTGGTATGGGTCACCTGTACTGGAAACATATTGGTCATGAACCATACGATATCAAGCATGGGCGCTTTTCTCCCTGGGGCGATCGTGTCGCAGTGTTGGAAAGGGTGTGCAACACAAGACAACCGTTCATGTTGGCTGCATCACACTAATAGCACATAGAACATCAGATACAGAAAAGAAGAACATTTTAGGTGTCTTTGAGAAGCCCCCCTTAAGCAGTCAGCCCTGAAAAGTGTTGCCTTTACAATAAAGTTAACAAATGTCAATTTGCCAAATACGTTTCAGCCAAGGTTGGTACAACAATCAGTAGATACGCATGCTCTGTGCTTACAGTGACTACAGTACTAATGGGTGAACAGACTGTTGTGCTCCTTAATGAGTGAACGACTAAATTAAACCTCAACCTTGATTTTTAACTACTTCATTAGTAATAACAATGTTCCCCAAAACCATGCAATGAAGTTCAAAATGCAATGGTGTCAGCTGTATTGATCTGATCTACTGATCTTGTCATTACAATAGGTTAAACATAGTGCCCTGCAAAAATATACAATTTAAAAAATTCAGTTTTTTACTGAATTACAGATCCTACACAGTCTATATATTATAAAACATTCAACATTTTTTTGGTTGGGAAATGTCTTCGAGCCGGGATTCAAACTTGGGACGCCCTGACATGCTACTACACTATTTGTTGGTGCGCTAACCACTAGGTTATTGCGCCGACAAAATTCAACATTCTGCCATGTGAATAGCACATGTAATTAATTAATACATTTATTATTATGTCTTTTTTTACATGATTAATAAATCTTTGCTAATTGTTACAACAATGAAACATGCTGCCCTATAAAATGTGCATAGAAAAGAATGCAAGAAAATACAAGGTCAAAACACATTAATATTTTAGAGGCTGCTGAACAAATTAAAGACAATAACTCTAATGATGGTATCATTTCAAAGATCAATTTAGAACATAAATCAACTATAAAGATTTTTCACCAAAATACAAAAACCGTTTTTGTGTGTGTGTGTGTGTGTGTGTGTGTGTAAGCAGTACTTTAAAAATACTCAAAAATGTATGTGTCAATGTTTTCAAACTTATATTATTATTATTATAAAGTTAATAATTATTGTTCTATAAAGAGCCATTTTTTTCCTTTTGATTATTATTATTTATTTTGGGTTGTGCAGTTTAATTTACAGAATTTCTACAAAGTATGTTGTATACTGCAATCTTGCATTCAGTTGAAGTCAGAATTATTAGCCCCTCTTTGATTTTATTTTTAATCTTTTTCCCAAATGATGTTTAACAGAGCAAGGAAAATTTTACAGTATGTTTGATAATATTTTTTCTTCTGGAGAAAGTCTAATTTGTTTTATTTCAGTTAAAATAAAAGCAGTTTTACATTTTTTAAAATAATTTTAAGGTCAAAATTATTAGCCCCTTTAAGCTATATATTTTTTGATACTCTATAGAACAAATCATCATTAAACAATAACTTGCCTAATAACCTTAACCTGCCTTGTTAACCTAAATAACCTAGTTAAGCCTTTAAATGTCACTTTAAGCTTTATAGAAGTGTCTTGAAAAAACATCTAATAAAATATTATTTACTGTCATCATAGTAAAAAGATAAAAGAAATCAGTTATTAGAGATGAGTAATTAAAACTATTATGTTTAGAAATGTGTTAGAAAAAATCTTATTACTGTTAAACAGAAATTGGGGAAAAAATAAACAAGGGGGCTAATAATTCAGACTTCAACTGTACGTAAAACAATAACGCATGTTTACAAATAAACACGTTTAGAGATTACATTTTTCTGGTCCCTTAACTCTGTGGCCAGATGTTTTGAAAAATTTAAATAGACAATTGTATATTAAACAGATGTTTCAGTATATACAACAATTGTTTAATATTTAATATATAATGTTAACATACTATTAACCATGTGAATTTATGTTTTGAGTTTTTACTGCAAATGTCACATCCATAACGCTGGAATTGCTCATATGCTATTTATCCGTGTTTGAATAAATATTACTGTAACTTAAAAAGAATTTATTTAATTTAATTTATTGCTACTTAAATGTTTATAATATTAAAGTCGTAAAATATTTTTTGCACTGTTTTTCCTAAGGTGAAAAATTAATTAATCGGCTGAAAAAAAATGTTTGCTTCAATCAAGTCTTTCCATTTGCTTCTGCATTTGGATCAAGTTGGTGTCCACTTAATGGCATTCATAGCAATATTCTTAACCATGCCCCTCTCACTGTTAGTTTGCCAAAGGAGAATGATGCTCAAAAGAAACCCCCACCCCTTACTTAATATTCTGTTACAGTTGGAAGTACATCAACATACTTAAATAAAAGTCTCAGCAACCGGTTCACATGGACTTTTAAGGAAAGAAAAAAAAAACATTTAAGGACATATTTTGAAAAAAAAATGCTTACATTTAATTGTGTGGTTCCAAAATATGAACAAGAATAACTGAATATCAGTAAATGTAATTCAGCAAAATTACCTGATGAAAGGTCTGAATACTTTTGCAAGGTACTGTGCATTAATGTTAAATAAAAAAGAAAATGAATGTGTAATTTTTCAAATTGAAACTTGGAGCAGATCAGTGGAGAGGAGCGAGAGAAAGAGAGAGAGAGGAGATCTTAATACATTAGACATCTGTAACAGCTGCCCTTGTACCGTTCAAACTTCCCTCCAAAACTGGGCGCCAAGTCAACCTGGACAGCTTTGAAAGACAGGCAAAGGTGTGCAACTGTGGGATTGGGGACGAGGGACAAGGGGACAGGTAAACAGCAAAAAAAAAAACAACAAAAAAAAACACAATGAATATGCAACTCTTCTAAGAGGCAAAAAAAAAAGACAACATGTGAGAGAAATAAATGAAAGAACAAAAGAAAATCAACAACAAAATAAAAAAGGAAATGAAAATAAAAATTAAAGAAAATAAAAAGAGACAAGGTGTCCATCTCGGAAGGTTCAGCGGCTATGCTCCTGGTCACATTCCCCCTTTGAAGGCAGCGTGGGCCCGGCGGGTATAGTGGCTTGGAAAACAAAGCCTTGAGTCAGGCTAGTGTAGTAGTGTAGCCTGGGTCACTCTAGTCATCTGATATGCACACATAATCAACACAGAAAAAACATACAGAAACCAAATTAATCAACGTAGTAAGCCATCCAGAACCAAGTCACGAGGACAAGCATTTCAGGCAAGAGGGAGGCTCTACTCTATTTGATATGTTTTTTTGTTGTTGTTGTTGGTGTTGTTTTTTAAATGAATATGGATGTTTACTGTAAAAGAAACAAGTGGTTAGCCAGTAGTTGCTCTCTAGACTTGCGAAGACCTCACCCTTTCACCTCATAGCCTGCTTAAGACGGCCAGTTTCGTTTTCTTAAATTTGCATAAAAATCTTGGGTATTAAAATATTGCTTGCCATTACTTATAAAATAAAGTCATATGATGTTTATTGATCATTTTCCTGACAGTTTTATATATGCTTGTGGCAGATGTCTGATTGCAGTTTTAAGTTTTGATTGGTGTTATTTTGTGTACAGACATTAATGTGTTAAGACACCCCACCCCTAGTGATTGTAAAGCATGTTGGGTGTATGGCCATCCACACATAAAAGCGCTATATAAATACACATTACATTACATTCTTTAGGGATGTAGTGATTCACTTGAGAAACTGAAATTTGTTACATAACAAATAACAAAATTACATTAAAAATTACAAAAAGAGTGGCAAATCAAACAAAGGACAAAAATATAGATCTCTTCATATAAACCAAGGTGCCCAAACTTGGTCCTGGAGGGCCGGTGTGATGCAGTGTTTAGCTTTAACCCTAATTAAACACATCCAAACAGGGTAATCAAGCCATTAATAGGTATACTTGAAGCAAACTGGAATCAAACTCTGCAGAACACCAGTCCTCCAGGACCAAGTTTGGGCACCTCTGAATGTAAAGCATTGCCTATGCTTTTTGTTCAGAAAATTCACCACTTCAGAAAATGCTGAGATTGTTCACTTTCATACTTATTGCAGTATTATAGTGTTTTAATCACTAAAGTCATTTTTTATATAAAAGTTCAGTATTATTAAGTTTATAAACTGAAAGTGTCTACTTTGTCCTTTACAGAAGGCTGCTTTCACTGAATTTGTGAAATTTTCACTGGATTTGTGAACAACATATCATTTTGATCTGCAACAGACCCTGACCTTCATTGACACGCATTATAAGTTCATGTGACTACGAATCGAAAGCAAAAGCAGAGCGTATTCAAAAGTGATTTCTACTTTTTATATTGATAGCGACTTCCTTTTTTGCATATTATACACAGCATAAACGTCATGTGCATTTTCTAATATATCCATATATTGCTATATTACTCATATCCACATCATTTTTTAATAAATGTGTTGCAGATAGGTTTGCTACTGTTTAACAGACCAACTAATAGCTTGTTTTCACTGAGCACTACAGTTCGTTTCCACAGTCAGGAGTACCAAAATTTGGAACCATAGTGTACCTCTTTTTTGGGACCCTTTCATAAATGTGCACATCATAACAAAATGATAGAGCTAGACTCGCTGCTAGACACTATTGGTTTACAAAGAATCATCATTTGTGTCTGCGACAAGCCAGGGGAATGA